ATACAATTTTTTTAGAGCAGTTGGATAGTCTGAACCTCAGTTGTTTACGGTGAGACTGGTGATGGCTTTGCTCTTGCATTTTTGATTACTATTGCTTTCATCAGTAGTATTAATTACATCACCTGTGTGAAAGTACAGAGACAGGATAAGTAATTTTTATTGCTGCATTTTTTGCGCATGTGTAATTATGGTTAGTACTGGGACCAAAGGTCCTTAAAACAAGAACATTAGACGTACTGAATGGAAGAATGCACGTCACCTTCATCTTGCCTCAAAAGCCTTGTCAGATTCTCCTTTATGTGTAGCAGAGTTTAAGTATAGCCCTGGCTCTAGTTATGGAGGAAAGAAATCAGCTGGGACAAAGTCACTGAAACCTCGGACAAAAGCATGGTGTGTTCCTCAGCACATTCATAATCCTCTGGAAGAGAGACAGTGCATTTTTCTCAGTGGTACTCTTCAAGCAGTAAGAAAGCAAAACACTTCTGGCTTTCCATGGATGTGCTGGGAGAAAATGAGGCCCTGCAGCAGTTCTTTGAAGGTAAGAGTCTAATTGTAAGAGAGGGTCTTAGCAATTTTTGGTGGCAGCAAAAAATACAGTCATTGTTTGGGGTTAATTGAAGAAAGGAGGAAGAAAAAGAGCCCTGAAACCCAAAGCTCTATTTACCCAAATCTGTGGCGTAAGGCCGTGCCGGAATGACATGGTACAAACGGTACAGATGTGCTGCAGTGCCTTTTTCCTTCTGCTTCGGCCGGCAGACCGAAGGGAGGGTGGACCCAGCAGAGCCTGCAGTACCGCCGTGGTAATTCCCGGGAAGAAAAAACGGGAAGTGGCTGAGGTCTCCTTGCAGTTTATCACTTCTGAAATCTTAGCGATTTTCACGAGGTTAGAGAGCTCCCTCCCTGCTCCACTCTACCACGTCAGGTTAAAGAGGGTTTTCTTTCCACTGATACCATTCTGAAACGGCCTGATTATTATTGGGAAAATGGTAATTGTGGCAGGATCTTTGAGCTCCTTCTGAGAAGTTAAACTCAGATTTTTGTGATTTTTGGCTGGGATCTGTCCTGCCTTTTTCCCAAAGACATTTTATATTCAAGCAGGTCCCATTAGTCTCCTGCCTTTCTCTTACCACACAATTTACTTTCTTAATAGATTGCATGATAAAACTGCATTTCTCAGGCCTTGCCATAACATGATTCAAAATGGCTGTTCAAAGGCTTATGTAGCTTTTTATTTTTTCTAAGGCTTTTTTTCCCTTCCTCCATTTTACACTTTTTTTTTTTTTTAATATTAACTGTTCTATTCCACGCTTCTCCCTCTGTATTTGTTTTCCTTCCATTACCTGTGCAGGTATTCACGTGATACTGATCTCAAGGTAACTTGGAAAACTACCTTTTCTGTTTTGGATAATGTGGATAACTTTTGCTTCCCTGCATTTAATTTCCATTGTGCTAAAGTGATTTTTTTTTTTTTCTGTTGACCTTGGTGAGAGGTGGCAACTCCCAACTTTTAATTTCAAGCTAGGAAATTAAAGAATCTCCAGCATCGATCAAGAAAATGTATTTAAGCCAAGACATTTAAATCAGTGAACAACAATCTGGGGCTGCTAGCCAGCAAATGTGTTGTTTATAGATGTTAGGAAATTCATACCATGTTTCTTAAGTTCACTTTAAGTCATGGGGATCAAAAGCTAACTTTCTTGGCTTTGCTTTCAGCAACATGTTTGGTTTTATCAAGCTATTTGTTCAAGTACTGCATTGCATAGCTGTTAAATACTCCAAATAGTGTTGGAGATGAATTATATAATAAAATCTCACAATCAGAAATTTTTTCAGGAACTGACTTGGAAAACGGGACTTTCCTAGGGAGTATGGGTTAGGTTCTGTTGGCTTTTGTGACAATGATACTTTGATGGTAGAAGGTATCTTGGAGATTTTACCTGTATGAGGTCTTTAACTAGAATTAGTAATTGTAATTCTAGATTTATTAATTTAACTCTTTTTAGAAGGTAGTTTAGCAGAACATCTGGCTGGGCCAGCGTGAGGGGGAGAAGCTCTGTCGATTCCATTTAATTGCAGGACAAATGAACCATCTTGGGAGGTTACGTTCCTTGGGTAACGTCGTGTGGTTCTGTGCAGTGCTAGAATACGACAAAGGTCTGCGAACGCCGCGCAGCACGCAGGGATGCTGTGAGATGGCTGAATTTCATTATCTGGACGCTGAGATTAGATACGTGTCAAGGCTACGAGGGCTAATCATTATTTGATTCAGCAGGCAGTAGCTAGGCTCCTCTTGCTGTTAAACCATAGGTAAACCCGAAAAAGTGATTTAAAGGCAGGGTTTGCACTCTTCAAGCTGGGGTTAACTTCACTGAATGTAAGGCCAGCTTTAACTGATGGTCTCTCTCCAGCTTAGCGCTGCGGCTTGGGGGTTGGCTTTATAATGCCACCTTGTGAGGCAAGAGCAATAAACTGCTGGTGCTAACTTGGTGGCCTCTGAGATTAGTCATAGCAGCGTTAGAACATTGTCTTTCAAGGCTGCAAAAAAAGCTGAGTCCTGCAATATCAAGTGGAGCCACTGAGAAAGTCTCTCTGCTTCGTCGGTAGTTCAGTTTTGGTTTCCAGATGCATCAGCTGGCAGCTGAGCGCATTTGTAGATCTGTTTTGTAAGATTATTTGAAATTCATGAGCAAAAAGGATCTCATTTTCCACATTGCTTTAGTTCCTTACAGTGCAGATTTGTTTTGACGCTCATTAGTGAGATAAACTCGCATTTGCAATATTGAGAGGGCGCAGTCTGAAAAAGCAGTTTTTTTCAAGGAAAATGAGATAATGTTTGTTTTCCTGCTGATTGCTCCTTTCAATAGTTAATAGACCTCTTAGATTAGATATGACTCTGACTGGGATTTGACCTTGGCTTTTTCTCATTCAAGTAAATGGCTTTATTCTTGTGTTGTGGCCATGCTGGGAAGTTCTTGTCTTTTTTTGTGTCTCATTTCACTCCCACGCTAGAGATGTCATCTCTGATGCAAGTTTTTTTCTATGAGTTCTGTTGGAATTAGTATTTTTAATTAAAAAGATTTGTATTTTAGGATCAGAAATGTCCTGTTTGTCAAGGGAAGGTCAGAGCTCCTGATGTCCGGGTATAGCAGAGCAGTCTATTCTTGCTGACGTTATCAGTGGGTTGAGGAACTTGAATGAAGGCCAACCTAGTTACAACGTTAAACTGAGTCTTGTCATTTTTCTTGTTGTTGGAAGGTACACTGAGGTGTCTGAAATGTGTGTGTTTGGTCTCAGTGCTCTCTGTGATCTAAAGAAGCAGAATTGCCACCTCTCTGTATGCTCATGCTCCTGCATGGATAACACGGAGTATAGTTTAGAGCTCTTGCTAAATAAATTAAGCCACAGAACAAACATGCCATTAAACGCAAAACACTTAAAACCCAAATCTGTCTTATACCATTTTAAGGATGAGAGATTGAAACAGGAGTAAAAGATGAAATGGGAAATTCAAAATATTAATGGCACGTTTCTCTGGCAAAAGTTACTTTGGGGAAAAACCATCTATCTTGGCACAAGCTTGCTCCTTACCACTTGGAGTTACGGGTCTTTCTGACATTGAATAACTTAGACTGTGATGTGTCCTGGCTGGGCGCAGTTCTGCCAGCTACAGTGGTTTGTCCTTAACCCATCCCTGTTTCTCGCTGCCCTGTGCCCGAGGTCCGTGGCCGTAGCTCTGCCAGCCCGGCAGCTTTTATCAACGACTCCAGGTCTGTTCCAGTCAAACCGAACTGGGCTATCTTGAACACTTTGAATAGTGACCAGTACTTGGAGTCCTCTAGCGTGAAAGAAGTTAAGGAACTCTATAAGCCACATAAGCAATACTTACCTTAGCGTGAGTTGATGAAGTTCAGCTGGACTTTCCACTGAGCCTGTATAGTGGAGCTTGTAAAGCGCTGAGGCCTGTTTTAGTGGTGAAGTATCTTGAGATGAAAATCAGTTAATAATTCTCAAGTAAAAACATTCCCCTGAAGTTGCAAGAGTTTGTAGCAAACATTATGAATTTGTCCTTTCAGCAAGTGGGAATTACCAAGTGCTGACCGCGGTCCGTGTGCCATTTTTTACTCCTCAAGCTGTATTTAAGTATTGTTCCCTGTACAGAGCAGCTGATGTTTTAACATGAATCTTACTACAAATAGCTGGACTTGGCTGGGAACTTCCTGGCATTCTCTTTTAATGCCAGGAAATTACCAGTTTAGCATTGATTTTCAGTCAATACTAGAAGTTTTGACAGAGTATTTTTTTTGATTGTGGACTGAATTTATGTTTGCAGAAAGAGCATCCTGATAGCCTGGTTATTTGGGTACTCCTTTAGAAAGCGATGGCTGTGGTTCAAGCCAAATTCAGAACAGCGTCTGACTCTCTGAAATGGCTGCGCTATTAAAGACATAAAACATCCTGCAAGGAAATTTCTGGTTCTCTGCGCCCCCTCCTTCACTTTGCATTTAGATACTATTGGGAAGGGGGCAGCTGATTTAAATGCGGTCATATGTAAGGCACTACATGGAAATAGTGGGAGAATTAACTGAGGCGGGTAAGTCGGGGATGGAGGCTGATGGCTACGGGCGTATAAAGTGCATGACGAACCTCATGGCTGGAGGAAAGGCGGGGATGTCTGCCAGAGAGATGAAGCAAGCAGCCGTCGGATCAGGAGGCTGGAGTTTGGACTCATCCTTGGGGACCCGGGGCTGGGAATAGGGACAGGGTAGGTGAGAACGGACAGGGAAACAGAGGCCAGTGGCAGGACTGACAGGTTTTAGACTTCAGATTGAAGGAGAGAGAAAAACAGAATACCAAGCTTACAGAGAAATGGGAAAAATAACATCATATGCTGATGTGTCCCCCAGTGCGGACTCTTCCCGGAGATGTCTGGGCACGTCGCGGTGCCGAGTGTGGGCTGGGAGCGGAGACCCCCCGGCGCCAGCTGAAAATTGGGGCTCGCGATGTGCTCGCAGGGGTCTCTCGGCAAGGCTCGTCCCACCGCGTACGCGCGGTTCTCTGCTTTTGCAGCCGCCCGATGTCCAGGCGAGCGGCTGGCTTGCGTGCTACCTGTATCTATTAAGTGCTTACTGGGATCAAATGCCTGTGAAATGGATGCCACCATTTTAAATAAATTTGCGTGCGATCCAACAGCTCCTCCTCTGCTGAAACAGATGCCAGCGCGAGGGTGTGATGCCACCGGCCTGGAAAGTACCTTCAGAAAGACAGAATAAAGTTCTACAGGGCAGCCCAGTGCACTGGCTCTTCTCTGCACCTCTATTGAGAATTTTGTTTTGCCTACCTTCTTCCTGGTGTGCTTCCCTCCTCTCCCAGCACAGAATCCCCTATTCCTTCCTTCTCCTCCTACCCATTTAACTGCTTATGCAAAGTGGAGAGGTTAAGAGGGGATGATACACGTTGCTGTTGTCATCACTTGGCAACAGAGCTCATCTCTGGACTGTGGGATGCCCCTATTAAAGGCCATGTCCTTGTTTGATTCATAGCTGTACTTCAAAAGGGTCTCTGAACTTGGTCAAGATAAGGAATTCTTGGGTTTGCGGTACTGGAAAACACTTTGTATCTGACCTCTGGCCTCATGTGAATAACAAAATTATATCATTCTGCATGAGGGCTAGGCAATTTGAACAGGAGGGTAAAAGGAGGAGAAGGCGATGGAATTGTTTTCCTGTGGACTACATTAGCAAAAGGGGAAGTTTTTGAGATTCGAGAGGGGATATCCTAAATTCAGACCTGAAGAACAGAAAGATGAGAATCCAGCAAGCTTGAGAGAGGTTGCTAAGGAAAGCCAGGCTCTCTTGTAGTCTCAAGCTGGTTTTACAAATTGTTTTGCTGCTACTTCAAGACTTTCCATGTTACAATTTTGCTGAGGCAAGTAAATATGCTGCACCTATTGAATCTGTTCTTCTCTGATATGCAGAGGACAGGCTTGTGTACAACGTCGGGATCTTGGGATGCAAGGATGTATTGGTAGCACACCTGCGAGTTGCTATCTCACGGTGAAAGGCAGCCAAAATTAAGTCAGCAGCAGCGATAAGCAAACGATGCCTAGATTAACCTGTGATCACAAAGCAATTCAGGAGATGTTTCTTAGCAATGTGAATTTACGTATTGAGACAGACGCACGAGGGAATTCCTACGCGTGGTGGTGGAAATGGATTTTTAGGGGAAATGGCGTGTGTCAGCTGCTCGGGGCTGAGCCACGCAGCTCTGGATGTATAGGCTCGTCCATTTTATCTTGTGTAGCAGTGTGACAGCCACACACGGCTCCTGCGCCTTGCTGGAGGGAGCAGGAACTTCAGTGTCCTTATCTTGTTTGCTTTTGCCACACCTGTATTTATGGAAGGCGTGCTGGAGAGGTGGGGAGCCTACAGAGTAGTTCTGTTTGTTTGTGGTTGTTGTTTTTTGTTTTTTTTTTTTTTTTAAGAGAGTTCTGGCTGACTTTTGTAGAAAGTTGTCATGAATTCTGGAGAATTTATAATCATAAAAATCTGTTTATAGCCCTCAGTTACCAAGCAACAAAGGACAAAGTACTGAACCTTTCTATTCATTAATACATTTAACATGTTAGTGGGCTGTTTTTTCAGGGAGGATAAAAGGAAGCCACCAGTCAAACATTTCTCAAGCTTTATTTCTGCTTTCTTCAAGCTCAGGATGGTGGATTTTTAAACTGAGTCTGTCACAAACTCACTTGCAGTACTAATGCAGAAAGTGGATCTGTGTGAGACAATGTCTGAGCTTTGTCCCAGTTGCCTCTTTTGATCCCAGTGTAAAAGGGTGTGAAGTTATCTTCAAAACCCCCTTTTCCAGTTGCAGACTGGGGCCCTTCATCCTCGTGCTGTGGCAATTCAGTGAAGCCTTAATGCTGAGGATGAACTGGTGTTTGCCTGGTGCTGCTGTCGTCTTTGCCTTCCTCTGCACACCCTCATTTATTCTGCATTTCCCATCATCTTTTTTCCCAGGATGACTAAATGAGAAGTGTAACCCACCCGTTACACACAAGACAGGATGGATTTGGTTTTCCTTTGTGTAGGAGAGTGGGCAACGTTACTTAGCTGAAGTACCGACGATTCCCTCCCCAATTCTGCTCTCCTAATTTCTGTCTTTCTGACATTCTTAATTTTAGGGCAAGACGTCCATGGAGCCTTGGAGAATCCCATGGTGGATACAAGTATGTTGGAAGAATTCATCAGTAGCGACGCAGAGTTTGGAACTTTGTAAGTATCACCATAACATGTACTTTCCCTCCTTAGCAACATCTCTTACATTGTTTTCAGTAGTGCCATGATAAAATCGGAATGCAACAGTCAGACCTGAAATCTGAGTTTCAGGAGGATTATGGCGCTCTTGATATTGTTACTTACTTGAAGCTGTATAAGATGATGTGGAAAAATGAATTATAGGCAGTAATGGAAATACAGTCATCTTGTTCGACAGAATGAATGATAATGAAGTCTGGGATAATTTACAACTGTTATGCTAATTGGGGCATTAAATGCAAAGCTGTTATTTTAACATTCCTGTAAGTGCTAGTTTAGTGTTTATGTACAGAATAAGTGATATAAGTGACACTAATGTATAGTAATTTGAGAGAATAACTTAAACCTCCCAGTCTGAGGGAAGCAGGGCTACTGTTTTCATTCTAACACTTCATTCAGAACAGAGACTATCCATTAATCTCTTCTGAGACTAACTCTAAGAGATACAAAGGATGCATAATGCAAAGGGTCGTGGTCAAGGGTGGAAAGTTATGCAGCATAGATCTATCAAAGACTTCAAAACCAAATCTTTCATCTAGACAACTGTCAGATGACTGTTGTTCAATGCAAAATATTATTAATGGGCTGACACTTGCACTAGCCAAGAAGCAGAGCAAGAGGGGATGTCTTACAAATAATTAAACATGGGATTTTTTCATTCCAGACACACTCAGCAGCACACATATTTACTTACAGTGGGCTAAATAGGCTTCTACCTGCTCTAAATCATGAATAATGAATTGATTCTCTCTCTGCCCACGCAATAAAAGTAAAGAAGGAAGAGGTGGTTATATATAAATATATATAACCTTTATTTTTTGAATAAGTAAACACGTATTGGGTAAACAGATTATTAAACTCCTGTATGACAACTTTAAAATATTATTCTTTTGCTTTTATACACAAAACATAGCAGAAATATAAATGTGTATACGTATGGTATTATGTAGCTTCGGTATGTTAGATATTGTAGTTGCAGTGCTACTAAGTATTTACATGCAAGGAAATAATACGTAAAACTACTACAGGTTTGCAGGCTCAGCAGGATTTTACACTGATACTACAGTAATACTTCATTAATTGTGGGATTAAGAAGAACATTTACTGAATCATTAGATCTCTAAAAGTCAAATTATGAAGTATTTGTCTGTATTGCAGACTATTTGTGCATAAACAGAATAGAACCTCATAAAGGAACTTGCCAAAATGCGTCAAAGGAGAAAAATATTAAAAGCCTCCATATATATATATATATCAAATGCAGATCACCATAATGGCATGTGCAATAGTGAATGCAGAGTGCAATGAATAGGGTGCTGTTACCACCAAGGTCTTGGGTGCATCTGGAAGTGTCCATTAAAAGTTGTCTTGCTTCAGGCAGGCTATTGGCATTATATTTATTCTCCTCTTACACAGCATGTGAAGCACCATGTGATTTCCTCATCTTACTCTTGAGCGGTGGAAGGAGAAAAAGGGTTGCATATCCTTTCCTAAGGAGGCATTTAATTGATATGCTATGTCTGTAACACAGGATCACTTAAACTACAGAATATCTTTTCCTTAAAAAGCGTAATACCAGTTTCAGTAAAGTTCTAACTTGGAGATATATCCCTACTACCTCTGTACTTCATGAATGCTTTATTTGTCCTATAAAGTGTTTGTCTCTGTATTTTACTGAAATACTCTCACTTAAAGCAGAAATTGAGTACCCAAGACAGCATTTGAAACTAGGAACATGAACCAAATGTGTAGAAGGGAAGTTTTAGACTTTTATGGATGTATCTTTTTAAATTTTACAAGGCATATTTAGAATTCAGTAGCTATGGATTAAGTATCCCACTGAAAAAAAAATAAATCAAATGTTTACCTACTCCCTATTCAAAGTTGAAAACAATATTTAGAGCAGTAGACACAATATTTAAAAGCATCAGTAAATTTGTTTTGAAGGAAATCAAAGATTATTCTGATGTGGAATTTTTAAATTTATTTTTTGAGAGTAATTATGTAGTTGAAGCTAAGCCAAAATGCAGGGTTGTGGATATGGCATGTTAGAAAACCAATAGCAATACCTTTATGAAATACACAAGAACATGTCGAAAGTAATAGGCCGTGACCAAAAATGAAACTCTTCTCTCTCATGGCATCTAAACTCAGAAATACAAAACCTGAAGTAGAAAACAGTAGAATGAAAATCTGGTGATGGAAATTTTCCATTGATGCTTGAAAATATTTGCTGTGTATGTGGGAACACGTGTGTTTTTGGAATATGAGGGTGTCCATTTAAGCAATTTTGTTTTATTCAACTTCTGGCAGAACATTGGGTCTTAACAGAGGAGGTGTGCCCCACTAAATGTCTGTCATCCTTCCTCTGCTCTAGCATTTTTAGCCTGACATGTGTCATAGAATCACAGAATCGTTTAGGTTGGAAAAGACCTTCAAGATCACTGAGTCCAACCATCATCCATGCCCACTAAACCGTGTTCTGGAGTAAAACCATGTTCAGGTAGTGCTTCAGGGCAGTGTTTGAGGCTACAATTCACAGGAATACCTGAAAGGGTTAAGAGTCCATTTCTTGAACCTCCGTCTATTCCTAATGTAATAGAGGAACCCTCTGTAGGTCCTTTAAATGAGAGCGGGATGGCACAGGATTTTCTCTCCCTTAAGCTGCTTTGAAAGCGCCATCACGAAGGACTGAAAAACCTGAAGTAAAATAGGAGATGTGACAGACCTGAGCTGACAGGAGACAAGCACAGCCTCTCCACAGCGGTCTGCCGTTGACTTGGGATGCTCCTGTGTTCAATGCAGAAGGAATGAAGCAGTTTTGCTGCGTGGTGTGCGAGCATCTGCTTGTTGCTGTGACCTACTCATGAAGGACTTGGCCTAGCTTAAACTACGGGGTAGTTCCAGGTCTCGCTCTGAGTAATCCTTTACACGCTGTCTGATAGAAACACTGTAAAAGCAACGCACAGTATCACAGGGAGATATAGTGCAATATAATGAAGCGCAGGTACCAAAGAGTAAATAATCAAGAACCTTCTTTCAAACCTCAGGCATGTGAATGGGCTGAGCTGTTGGAGACAAGCAAAGCTCTTAGAGTCACCTGCACACAAGGAAACTCAATTCCTGCCTGAAAATTGGGAGAAAGCTGCACAGTAAAATATGGGCTGCCATGTTCTTGTACAGAGCAGCGTGCCTGAAGTTCTTTGGAAAGGAATCATAAGAGGTCGTGTCTTCCAACATTTATCAGTTTCAGTAACAAAAAAGAGTGAACACTTAAAAATCACAGAGCACGCTTCGGTTATTTGGCTTTCCACCATGACCTCTCCAAGCAGGGGTGTAAAGCATAAATCTTTCCTGCTTGGCTGTGGGGTTTGCCAAGGAGGTGGCTGTGGAGCACGTGGAATTTCTTGGTTCCCAGCCAGGATTCCTCTGTCCTGCCTCTAGTCCCTGGCTCTTGTCATGGCTGTGAGAGTGTAACTGCCTTTCCATCTTGTAGTCCCCGTGCCTCTGCACCTGCTCCCTGTGTCGTGGTTTAACCCCAGCCAGTAACTAAGCTCCACACAGCCCCCATCACCAGTGGGATGGGGGAGAGAATTGGG